GTAAATGGGCATGAACATATGTACATATGTACATGTACATATCTGGAGTCATAGGAAGGGGCTTCAAAAAGCTCCTTGAAAAAATTCATGGCTCTCTCTGATCTCTCTCTCTCCCCCTCTCCTGTCCTCTCTCCCTTGTTCCCTTGCCCTCCTTCCCTTCCCCCTCGCCCCACGTGGACCACCAAGCTGGGCTGAGCCTCATTTTCTTGAATGTCTTCCATATGAAATCTAAGAAGGGGAAGAAAAGAGCCCTGGCTACCTGCTCCTCCCACCTCAGTGGACATGAACTCTAGCACAGATAAATCTATTGAGACAGGTATTATATTAATGGTTTCTTGGGGGCATGGGAATGGAGTTTTGGGGGAAACGAGCTAATAAAAAGAAGGACAAGAAAGAAAAAGAATTCATGAACATGTTAAAGCCCCCTCATACTTGTTTCTTTGGGCGCTGTCTGTGAAGCGAGACTAACAAAAAGTGAAGCTACTGCTTCCCAACGGGTTCTCCATCTAGGTCTGTGCCCATCTGAAAGCAGCGCTTATCGCTCTTGGAGACTGAATCACACGGCCTCCACCTGGCAGACCTGCGGGACTCCAATGGTGTAAGAGGGAATTTGAAATGTTCTGTGCACTGTGTGGACAAACGTCTGAAGGACCAAGATTAGGGCTGTAGGGGAGATGGGGTAAGGTTTCAACAACAGAGAAGCCCCACAGGGCAGTCCCTGCTTGTACAAAGAATGCACAGGTACACTGCCATAGGGAAGGGAAAAAATTCCTTGGTGCAACATTCCTGACCGCCTTCCTATCAGTGTTTTTCCTTAAAGCATTTCTTAACATTTCTCCATAAGTCCTTGTGATTGTCCTGCGCCCTTCAAGAAAATCTATAAAGATTTTGAAGTTCCAAAACAGAGTCATCATCACTTTCTCAGCTGCCCTCTCTGCATCGAATGTCACGGGCCCAGGAGATCCCCTTGCGAGTCATTGTTTTAACTGGACTTTTTTTTTGGTAAGGGCCCTCTCCCCCATGAGACTCTCATTACCGACAAGTCGATGCCGGCTCAGAGCGACTCTACAAGACAAGGCAGAACTGCCCTTGTGGGTGTCCAAGATGGTAGCTCTTTCCAGGCATGAAGCACATCACCGCATGGGAAGAACTAGAGGAAATTATGCTAAGTGAAGTAAGCCAAGCACAAAAGGACAAGTACTACATGATCTGCTGAGGTAAGCTCAAAAAATTCAAAAGGGGAAGAAGCTACTGTATACATCCATCCATATGGTAGCCCATTAAAAAGGAGAGGGGGGAAAAGTGTGGGTAGTAGGGGGAACAGGGTACTAACTGACACAGGGGGGTGTGTTGATTGTGTCCCATGGGGCAAGAGGGACCAGACTGCAACCCGGAGCTCCAAGACAAGAATGCAACACATTGACATAAAGCAGGGAACCCGATAGAGAGGCCTGAGGGGCCGGCCCCATTACCAACTAAGTGGACAGCACCACCCTCCTCCCCGGAAGAATTGACTTCAGAGGACAGCACAGAAGCTACAGCTCAAGGAGAGGGACGTGTCTGAGCAGAGCACACAGGAGCCAATGAGGGGGAAAGGGGGAAAAAAAAGAGTGAAGCACATCCTAGCTCACCAAGCCCTGAGGACAATATTCCTGTTCAGAACAGCAATGCACAGAGATGACCACAGGGCCGGCCTCACCATGGGGCACAGCATTCCTCATTGACCCATAGCACAATTAGGGCCAACACTAGAGACACACGGCGGGAATTGTGCCCGCCATGAGCTCACTACACAGAAGCCAGCCTCTGGGGGCATGCAGCACAGCAGCGGGGGGAGCAGATCAATGAAGTCCCCAGGGATAGTTGTGGGGCCAGGGCATGGCATCCCATCAAACTCAACTGGAAAGCACTCATGAAGGACAGCAAACAGACCCTGAACTATTCATACGTTTTGTTGTTGTAGCTATTGTTTTACTTTCTATTGTTGCTTCGTTGTACTCAGTCTTGTGATGGTACATAGCATGTCTACCTGGAAGGGATAGGCGGAATAAACAAGCCAGAAGAGAGAACAACAGGATGACAGTTCTGGGGGGACAAGGAAGGAGATTGTGTGGGGGGAAGGAAGTGGGTGTTAACAAACCCAGGGACAAGGGAACAAGTGATCCAAGATCAGTGGCAAGGAGGGTGTAACAGGTCTGGCAGGGCTGGACCAAGGGCAATGTAACCGAGAGGAATTCCTAAAACCCAAATGAAGGCTGAACATAATAGCGGGACAAGGGGAAAGTAAAAAGAAATAGAGGAAAGAACTAGGAGGCAAAGGGTAGTCATAGATACAGGCATATACAGATGTAAATATATTTATATACAACAAGGGGGAATTAGATCTATGTACATATATTTATAGGTTTAGTATTAAGAAAACAGATGGACAGTGGGCCCCTGCTCAAGTACTCTCTCAACAAAAGAACACTTTGTTCTAACAATTCGGCAGTCTGAAATGTTTACCTTCCTGGCACGATCACTGAAGACAATGGGTGCACAAGCAAATATGGTGAAGAAAGCTGATGGTGCCTGGCTACCAAAAGATATAGCATCTGAAGTCTTAAAGGCCTGAAGATAAACAAGCAGCCACCTAGCTGAGAAACAATAAAACCCACATGGAAGAAGCATACCAGCTTGTCCCAACTCGATCACTGAGGACAAAGTGGGTGCATAAGCAAAAGTGGTGAAGAAAGCTGATGGTGCCCAGCTATCAAAAGATATAGCATCTGGGATCTTAAAGGCTTGAAGGTAAACAAGCGGCCATCTAGCCCAGAAGCAACAAAGCCCACATGGAAGA